TCCTTTTCAGCTCCGAAGTGCCACATCAGTGAATAAATTAGCTCCTCCGTCAGCCGAAAGGCAATAAAACTAAGAGCTTTTTTTCTCCCTTCCCCGAAAGGAAGAAACATCGTGTACCCAATAACAAAAAATTAAAATCAAGAAGAGCGATCTTTTCCGAGAAGGACGGTTTTGAAAGTCTTAAATAACAATCATCATAATAATTAAAAAACGCCTCAAAAAGCCAGCGAAATGGCGTTGTGAGGCTTTTCCACATAAACTTTTAAAAACCCGCTGCTGAACTGCCGTGGATTTCACCCCAACTTATGGCCACAAGGGAGCCCCAGATTTTCGCTGCTAAGGGGAACATTTTTTTCCCAGCGAATTTTGCCCCTTTTGACAACCTTTCTTCCCTCAGATGTCAAGTGAATCACTACAGTTAGTAAGTTAGTAACCCGGTTGTTAAGTGAATCTGGTTTCCCCTCCTTGACTTTGCTGGTCAGAAGGTCGCAAAAGGGGATCATGTGACCTGCCCCCTCGGGATGCTGCATCCGTCATAAATACGAGTCAGTTGCCGAGCGTCTGAATTTTGATCAGGTGGCCAGCCATAGGGATGCTGGAACGGTCGTAACTGTGAAAAACGGTTGTAAGTCACTTTTTTCCAGCGCCACTGTAAGTTCGGTCGCTAAATGAACCGTCGTTAAGTCAAGGACCATGGCTACAAAGCTACGGATTTCCCTTACAAAAAAAACCATCGCCATCTCCTAGTTAATCTTCCTAGCTTCGTGTGACTACCGTACCTTTGGAGTTAAATCTATATTTTTTCCCCGCTTTTGCTGTCTCTCTCTCTCTTTCTCTCGTCGTTCTTTAAGGCTTGCCAAATAAACGCACGCTGCCAAATCAAACAGAAACGGTTCAAGCCAGAGTTTTTCCTGCCCCGGCAGCAGAAATCAAATCAAGGTTTGTTTGTTTTTTCATTTTCATGAAAAAGTGTTTGAAGGGACGAGGAGCAGCAGAAATGGGACCTTTAGCTGCAGGGATACATCCATGTGTAGGTATGTTTTGTGGCAGATCCGGGCTTGTACGCCCTGGCTAGATCCTGCCGAGCGCCAGAGAGACGAGATGGATCGTCAGGGCAATCCAATTTTAGCTGATTGGATCTGAGATGGCATCTTGAAAGGCCTGGCTTTTGAAAAACAGAAGCTTTTCAGACAAGAGACAGACATCCTCCTGGCCAAGTTATATTCCCGTCTCCCGGGACAGGAAAAGGCCAAACGAGCATCTGTTTGCAAGGTCCAAAAGTCATTTCAAATGTCTGCCTGGCTTTTGAGGGGCTCTGCTCGGAGGAGGCCGCTTGGATGAGGAGATAAAACGGCAACTCAGCGGCCGTGCGTTTTCCCGAAACGTCGAGAGAAAAATGGCTCTCGGCGAACCTTGTGGAAATGGCCAAAGAACGCCGGCGGGAACTTAGTTCCGCAAAAGGAAATTGATCCGGAAGCAAAGTGGATCCTTCTTCTCCTCTTCCCCAATGATGATCTTGTTCCGTTGGGCTACGAGTGCTCCACAATGTGAAGTCTTATGCAGAATATAAAAGGCAGTTCAAACCCCTAGCACTGATGATGTTGCCTAGTTGGGTCATGAAATGTTTGCAAGAAAAGCACCAAGCTCAGAGAGCACCAAGGACCCCACTGTCGTCTTCCTCCTCCTCCTCCTCCTCCTCCTCCTCCTCCTCTTCTTCTTCTTCTTCTTCACTCTACAAACCCCACTCCCTTCTAGCACTGATGTTGCCTAGTTGGGTCATGAAATGTGTGGAAGAAAATCACCAAGCTCAGAGAGCACCAAGGACCCCACTGTCATCTTCCTCCTCCTCCTCCTCTTCCTCCTCCTCCTCCTCCTCCTCCTCTTCTTCTTCTTCACTCTACAAACCCCACACCCTTCTAGCACTGATGATGTTGCCTAGTTGGGTCATGAAATGTCTGCAAGAAAACCACCAAGCTCAGAGAGCACCAAGGACCCCACAGTCCTCCTCCTCCTCTTCCTCCTCCTCCTCCTCCATTCTTCTTCCATTCTCCTCCTCCTCCTCTCCACAAACTCAACCCTCTTCTAGCACTGATGATTTTGCCTAGTTGGGTAAGGAAACATCTGCAAGAAAACCACCAAGCTCAGAGGGCACCAAGGACCCAGTGATTCGCTTAACAACCCATGGCAAAAAGGTCGTAAAATCGGGCACCACTCACTTAGCAGTCCCCTTGCTTCGCCACAGAAATTCTGATCCCAATTATAGTCATGAGAGCCAGGGACCATCTGTTGTCTTCTCCTCTTGGACAGCTTCCTCCCTAAATGGCACTAAGAGGTACTGCCCCTGCAGCTGGAAGCTCAATTTCTCCACTGTCTCCTCCGCAGAGTCAGTCTTTGTGAACTGAGGTCTCCCGTCTTTCTGCCAGCTACAGAGCTACAGCCAAGTCATCATTTGAGGGTTGTCATGAAGATCAAGGTGGACAATTCTAAATCACCGAAAAAGCCTCAAACGGTGGCTTTGAAACCTGGCTAAAAGCAAACCCTGGTTAAGACAGCTGGGCAAAAAATTTAAACAAAGGGAAACCACAAGCAGGCAGTGCAAATGTGCTCACTGCACACCTTTTGTTGAGATGGGGAAACGGATTCTTCCAGTTATCATAATTTCAGTGTGCGTTTGTCTTCTCCCTTTTTTTTTTTTGAGATGTTTTTATTCCACCAGCAGCTGTTGACAGGAAGGAACCATTTAAATCCAGCTAAGCTACTCCACAAATACTTTGATTATACCATTTGCTGGGGTTTTTGTTTTGTTTCAAACCTGTTGCCGGTATTTCAAAGCTGTGGGATTAAAATTTGCTTAAAACTGACATTTAAACTCAGTGGGGTTTATTTTAGCTTCCTTGCACTAGTTTATGGCGGGGTCAGACAATTTGTTTGGCAGACTGAGAGAGGGCAGGGAAGGGGAAAAAGGAAGGAAGGAAGGAAGGAAGGAAGGAAGGAAGGAAGGAAGGAAGGAGAAGAGAGAGGGATACATGATCTAAGTATAATATACATGATAGCAGCCTTCCAATATTTGAGGGGCTGCCACAAAGAAGAGGGGGGGGGGGTGTCAACCTATTCTCCAGAGCCCCTGAAGGCAGGACAAGAAGCAACGGATGGAAACTAATCAAGGAGAGAAGCAACCTGGAACTAAGGAGAAATTTCCTGACAGCGAGAGCAATTAATCAGTGGAACATGTTGCCTTCAGAAGTTGTGGATGCTCCATCCTTGGAGGTTTTCGAGAAGAGACTGGACAGCCACTTGTCTGAAATGGTATAGGGTCTCCTGCTTGAGCGGGGTGGTGGTGGTGGTGGGGTGGACTAGAAGACCTCCAAAGTCCCTTCCAACTCTATTCTGATTGATCAGGGTGATGTGACGATCAGAATGAGTAACATGGACTCATACGACTCCATTTCAGGTCCTTAAAGGCCAGGCATTAACCCAATCACCTCTCATGCTTATGCTTCAGCTAGAGATGGCTCATTTCTGATTTGTTGAAGACATCACAACCGGCCATGTTTACACAACACATTGAGGCGTTTAAGTCCAGCTCTCAAGCCGTAAGAGAGACAGATTAAGGCTTTGGACAGATGTGAAGCAGGCCTATAAAAGGACAGGTTGCTAGGATGGCTCTCTGGAATGGCCACACATCCCGCCAACTGAATGAATTTACTGAATGAACACAACGCGGTGGGTCTACAGGAAGTGCATAGCCATGATTTGCAGGCCCTAGTTTTGAGCTTTACCTAATGTAACAGCAAAAAGCCAACCTACTTACAGTTTTACGGAGGAGGAGAAGGAGAAGGAGGAGAAAGGAGGAGAAGAAGAAGGAGATGGAGGAGAAGGAGGAGGAGGAGGAGGAGGAGGAGGAGGAGGAGAAGGAGAAGGAGGAGGAGGAGAAGGAGAAGGAGAAGGAGGAGGAGGAGGAGGAGGAGGAGGAGGAGGAGGAGGAGAAGGAGGAGAAGGAGGAGGAGAAGGAGAAGGAGAAGGAGAAGAAGATTCTAAATACATTTCTCCACATCCAGCCAGCCCAGCTTAAATGAGAAAAAAATGTGATTCCTCTACGTAAGACACCACACTGTTTTTGCACTAGTTTTCTGTCAAATCACCAGCTCCAATGAAATCAGATTTAAAGTCCCCACGCCAAACACAGGGAGAGGCTTCATCCCTTTTAGCACATTATTGCTGCAGGGCAATAACGGACCCCTTCCGTAGCCCTGGATGCACACAGACTCTCCAGCCAGCACCAGTCAGCACCACGCAGGTGCTTCCCATGATCAAATTCAAGGCGGGGGGGGGAGGCTTCTCCCCAGTCCCACCCTGATCCCTCCAGAACCAACTTATATCGCTCCATCTGGGCTCCAAAAATCAAAGCCAGAATTTGGTTCCTGAAAGGCACAACGGCAAAGGGGGTGTTGTTGTTGTTGTTGTCGAAAGAAACCTGGCCCCAAAGGAGAGGAATTTGGAGAGAGCAAAACCTTCCCAGCCACCAGGTTGAATCTCAGATTTCCCAAACACCCCGTCCTTCCTAATACAGATTCTCAATTTCTGGTTGGTTTTTTGGTTTTTTTTTTTTCTGTTTTTCAATGCAACCTCTTTGGACAGACGTGCATTTTGCACCTTTCTACCCAAAGATAAAAAGGAAAACAAGACGCCAACAGAGACCTATTCCGGCAGAGAGAAACCAAATCCGACGGCGAGGATGCAAACCCGAGCCAGTCTCATTTGTAACCGTTGCAGGAGACCTCTGCATCAAACGGGAGGGCGGGCAGGCCGTAAAACAGGTACAATTTTGCAACCGAGAGGTGTTGAGAAAGGGGTACCCCAAACCTTTGGGGAAGCCCCCACCCCACTCTAAAAAAAAAAAAAAAAAAGAAAGCTCTGGCTTTGAATCCTTTAAAAAAAAAGAAAGAAAGGAAGGAAGGAAAGAAGACGACGAAGGAATAAGGAGGAAAATGAAAACTTACCAGCTCTACTGAACCGTAGTGTTTCCTACTGAATTCTCCCCGTCTACAGCCGAGGTCTTCGGAGACGGAACTGGAATAGAATTGCTTCATTAGTAGACATAGCTAACTGGACCCCTCTAAGCGATTGGAGAGGCAAAGAGGAAAGATATAGATATAGATATATAGATATATTTATATATTTCCTTCCTTCCCTGTTTCGAAGGGGGTTCTCAGTGCCGCCTTGCGGGAACCGGCTTCATCACTGCGGGGGAATTCTCTCCTGAATGGGGAGGAGGTCTCGAAGCCACCACGGTGGAGAGACTGGCTTCTTGAATTAAAGGGGGGAAGGGGGGAGGAAGGGAAAGGGATGGACGCGGAAACCAAAGGGCGCTCTGATTGGGAGGGAAGCAGGGGGGGCTACGATTCAATTCAATCTCTAGTCAAGGCAGGCAGATCAGGGCAGAAACGGGCGAGACAGACAATGCCTTGTAATTGCATTTGGCTGTTTCTCTCTCTCTCTCTCTCCCTCCCTTTTTCTCTTTCTCTCCTTCCCTCCCTCTCCTTCCTGTCTCTCTCTTCTCTTTCTCTTCTCTCTCTTCTCTTTCTCTTCTCTTTTTCTTTCTCCCTCTCTTCTTTCTCTCTCCTTCCCTGCCTCCTGCTCTTTCTGCCTGCCTCTCTTCCCTCTTTCTCTCTCCCCGTCTCTCTCTTCTTTCTTTATTCCCTCCCTCTCCCCGTCTCTCCCTTCTCTCTCTCTCTACCCCTTCTATCTCTTCTTTCTGTTCTCTCTTCTTTCTCTCTCTCCTTCCCTGCCTCTCTCTCTGCCTGCCTCTCTTCCCTCTTTCTCTCTCTCCCTGTCCATCTCTTCTTTCTTTATTCCCTCCCTCTCCCCGTCTCTCCCTTCTCTCTCTCTCCCTCCCTCTTCTCTCTCTCCCCGTCTCTCTTCTCTTTCTGTTCTTTTTTTCTCTCTCCCTCTTCTCTTTCTCTCTCTCCTTCCCTGCCTCCCCTTCTCTGCCTGCCTCTCTCTCCCCGTCTCTTCTTTATTCCCCCCTCTCCCCCTCTCTCTCTCTCTCTCTCTCTCTCTCTCTCCCTCTCTCCCTCTCTTTTCTCTCTCCCTCTCTCTCTCTCTCTCTCTCTCACCAAAAAAGGAAGAGGACTTTAGATCCTGCAGCATATTTAAAACACGAGAGGGGTGGAGATGGGGATAAAGATCAGGCTGAGAACTTGACCCCAGTCTTCTAAGAAATTAGCCTCCACACAAAGGCTGCAATCAACTTTGGAAAAATGGGGCTTAGGCTACAAACATTTTTCACAGCCAAAAAAACAAGGAAGAGTCACCACCAGAAGCGGGAATACCCCCATGCAAAGAAGATCTCTCTCTACGAATAGAAGAGAATATTCGTAGCTCAGGGTTGAACTGTGGGGTCCTGGGTGCTCTCTGAGTTTGGTGGTTTCCTTCCAGACGTTTCATGACCCAACTAGGTAACATCATCAGTGCTAGAAGGGAATGGGGTCTGTTGAGTGGAGGAGGAGGAAGAAGAGGAGGAGGAAGAGGAGGATTGTGGGGCCCTTGGTGCTCTCTAAGCTTGGTGGTTTTCTTCCAGACGTTTCATGACCCAACTAGGTAACATCATCAGTGCTAGAAGGGAGAGGGGTCTGTTGAGTGGAGGAGGAGGAGGAGGAGGAGGAGGAGGAGGAGGATTGTGGGGTCCTTGGTGCTCTCTCAGCTTGGTGGTTCTCTTGCAGACGTTTCATGACCCAACTAGGTAACATCATCAGTGTTAGAAGGGAGGGGGCTTGTGGGAAGGAGGATGAAGACTGTGAGCGACTTTGCAAAAGGGGATCACGTGACTCCGGGGGACACTGCGACCGTCATAAATATGAGTCCATTGTCAAGCATCTGAATTTTGATCACGTGAGCACGGGGAGGCTGCAACGGTCGTAAGTGTGAAAAACGGTTAAAAAAATCAGTTTTTTCACTGCTGTTGCAACTTCGAACAGTCACTAATGAAGGGTGGTAAGTCAAGGATTACCTGTAAGGAAAATAAATCAGTCAATAAGCTGGATCCCACCTCTCTGAAGATCCACTCTTCCCCTAGACAAGGAGAACAAACCCGGCATGTGACAAACATCTTTGGATCAGCTCCTTTTGGTGTATATTACGAAATTGGAACAAAAGGGAGGGAGGTCACCGCGATGTAAAAAAGATGCTGAGACTCTAGAAAGAGTGCAGAGAAGAGCAACAAAGATGATTAGGGGACTGGAGGCTAAAACATATAAGGAACGGTTGCTGGAATTGGGTATGTCTAGTTTAACGAAGAGAAGGACGAGGAGGGACATGATAGCAGTCTTCCAGTATCTCAGGGGCTGCCCCAAAGAAGAGGGAGTCAAGCTATTTTCCAAGGCGCCTGAAGGCAGGACAAGAAGCAACGGGTGGAAACTAATCAAGGAGAGAAGCAACCTAGAACTAAGGAGAAACTTCCTGATCGTGAGAACAATTAACCAGTGGAACAACCTGCCTCCAGAAGCGGTGAATGCTCCAACACTGGAAGTTTTTAAGAAGAGACTGGACAGCCATTTGTCCGAAATGGTATAGGGTTTCCTGTCTGAGCAGGGGGTTGGACTAAATGACCTTCCAGATCCCTTCCAATTTTACTATTATTATTATATGAGGAGAGAAAAGTTGCACACTTGGCGCTTTTCAAAGCGGAAACTCCAATAGGGTAGCTTCCCCTTCCTTTATTTATTTTATTTTATTTTTTATTTATCTTTTAAGGAAACAAACGGTGGTTTCTTCCTCCAATCTCCAGGACTTCTCCCGCTGGTTGCCACAGAAACTAGCCTTGAAATAATTCTTGGTCGGAGGGACTTGGGTTGCGAAGAAGATTGCGAAAGGAATTTTAAGCGAAACCTGGGCATCGCAGTCTTTAAGTCGTTTGGGGGGAAATCTAGATGCTTTGGGGAAGGGGGCTAGGAGTCGCCAATTTGGGGCAGGGGGGGGGTTGGCTTCCTCTCTGAACCTCCAGATGTCCGAAAAAAAGATTCTTTGGGGCAAGTTGAGGAGACCGGAAGAAGAAGCAGACATGGGTTGACGATGAACGGCGACCGAGGGGAAAGTTTTCCCTTTTGAAAACAGGATTCACTGAGGGAGAGAAAAAAAGCCGCGGTCCGAAAGGATAAACGTTGAGTCTCTGAATGATAACCCGCTCCTGAGCCAGCCGTGTGCTGCAGCTGCCAAAAAAGCCAACACAGTGCTAGGCTGCATCAACAGAGGGAGAGAATCAAGATCACGTGAAGTGTTAATACCACTTTACAAGGCCTTGGTAAGGCCACACTTGGAATACTGCATCCAGTTTTGGTCACCGCGATGTAAAAAAGAGGTTGAGACTCTAGAAAGAGTGCAGAGAAGAGGAACAAAGATGATCAGGGGACTGGAGGCTAAAGCATATAAGGAACGGTTGCTGGAATTGGGTATGTCTAATTTAATGAAGAGAAGGACGAGGGGGGACATGATAGCAGTGTGCCAATATCTCAGGGGCTGCCCCAAAGAAGAGGGAGTCAAGCTATTCTCCAAGGCGCCTGAAGGCAAAACAAGAAGCAACGGATGGAAACTAACCAAGGAGAGAAGCAACCTGGAACTAAGGAGAAACTTCCTGATGGTTAGAACAATTCACCAGTGGAACCACCTGCCTCCAGAAGCAGTGAATGCTCCAACACTGGAGGTTTTTAAGAAGAGACTGGACAGCCATTTGTCCGAAATGGTGTAGGGTTCCTGCCTGAGCAGGGGGTTGGACTAGATGACCTCCAAGGTCCCTTCCAACTTTATTATTATTATTATTATTATTATTATTATTATTATTATTATTATTATTATTATTATTATTATTGTTGTTGTTGTTGTTGTTGTTGTTGTTGTTGTTGTTGTTGTTACTCTATCAGGGGAACAACAGCCATGCTCTCACAAGGTCCCCCGTAGGAAAGACGCTCTGGCAGAAAGCTGTTGGTGCTCCAGTTGGAAATACAGATATTCCCCAAGTTGCAACAGTTTGTTTTAGCGACCGTCCAAAGTTACATCACCGGAAAAAGGGATTTATGACCGTGTTTTCACACTTACGACCGTTGCGCCATCCCCATTAAAATTCAGACGCCTGGCAACTGGTTCCTACGTATGACGGTCGCAGCGTCCCGGGGTCACGTGATCCCCTTTTGCGACCAAAGTCGAGGGGGAAGCCAGATTCGTTTAGCAGCCGTGTTACTCACTTAAGAACTGTGCGGCGATTCACTTAACAACAATAGCAAAGAAAGTCGTAAAGCAGAATTCTGGCTCTCCTGGTTTCTGGCACGATCCTGAACGGCGACGCCAAACCGGCTCTCCGATCCTTAGCAGTTGATTTTTTTTTCCCAATGTTATTTTATTTGCTATTTTTAAACGAGGGGAGATTTTCTTTTTTTAAAAAAACAAACAAACAACAGCAACGACAATGATTTCCTCCTGCTTAGAATCCTCTTAAAAAGATCTTGAGATCTCTTGTGAGAGAGAAAACTAATTGGATCCAGGCCACAAGTCTGCATTTTTTTTTTCCCTTCGGGGGAGGGAATGGGCGAGCTCCCTAATAGGAGATAGAAAAAATAACAAAGACAGGTTTATCCAAACAGAGAAGTACAGTATACATTTTTTTCTCCACCGAGTAGAAATATTAGTCAGCTGAGAAAAAAGGAGTTAGGCGTGTTTTTTTATGTGTCTGGTGCCAAAAGGAGAGAGAGGCATCTTAATTTAAGGCCGAAAGCAACTCCGCCTTTCAATGTACAATATTATTTCTGCTGGGCCAGTTTGTGACTGAATCAATGGTTCTCAACCTCTGCCACCTGGAGATGGGTGGGCTTCACTTCCCAGAATTCCCCCTTGCTGGCTGGGGGACTCTGGGAATTGAAGTCCACCCCTCTTGAAGTTGCCAAGCTGGCCTGGGTCCTCACCCACTGCAGGTGTCAAATATTTGGCTTAGCAGTCAGCAACTAAGGGGCTGCCCCAAAGAAGAAGGGGTCAAGGTATTCTCCAAAGCACCTGAAGGCAGGATAAGAAGCAACGGATGGAAA